TACTCTGAGAGAGAACTATCAACATCAGAGGCCCGAGACTGTTCAACACGCTTCCACTACACATAAGGGACATAACTGACCGACCCCTCACAGCGTTCAAGAGAGAACTTGATAAGCACCTCCAAAGGATACCTGATCAACCAGGCTGTGATTCATATGTCAGGCTGCGAGCAGCCACGTCCAACAACCTGGTTGACCAGTCCAGCAACCAGGAGGCCTGGTCGACGACCGGGCCGCGGGGACGCTAAGCCCCAAAACCACCTCAAGGTAACGTCAAGGTAGGTCATGTAGCTACTAATCGTATCTCACGCGGGCTGCCCAACCACTTGGGCTGGACGGTTGAGCGACGGTCTCGCTTCATGCAGGTCGGCGTTCAATCCCAGGCCGTCCAAGGGGTTGGGCACCATTCCTTTTCCCCGTCCCATCCCAAATCCTAATCCTGACCCCAGCCATCTGCTATATAGTCGTGATGGCTTGGCGCTTTGTCCTAATAATTCCTTTAAAGTCACGCGATTGTGCGATATTGTGAATTGCTCATATTTGAGAACTCGTTTAAAATGTTCTTGTTAGATACGCACGCAAGCTTACACGCACGCAAGCTTACACAGTTACAGCCCCGCTCCTGTGACAGGCAATTCCACTACGGGCTACCATAGCCCGTGCTACTTGGAACTTTTTGTTCCCAGTTGCTGAAAGAACTTCAACAGCAAGTTTACACGCACTCACGCTTACACGCACGCCCATGTGTAAACTCTACAAACTCTATAAACTGTGGCCCGAGGCCAGCCTACTCTACAAGCTGGCAGCCATCAATGTAAGGGAGAGAGAAGCGTCTGTCGCGTACAGGAATGGCTCCAGACTGTTAATCATGGGAGATTTCCACCATGAAAACATAGATTGGAAGAACACAGACCCACACAGAGGAACGGATACCTGGAATGCTAAACTATTGGACGTGGCAGCAAGAAACTTTCTGAGTCAACAGGTCAAGGACCAACAAGAATGAGAGGCAGTGATGTCCCAGCCAGACTAGACCTGATAGTCACCCTGAAGGAGTCAGATGTAAGTGAAGTCAACCACGGAAATGAGTGATGACAGTGTACAGACATTGGAATATCTGATGAAAGTAGAAATACTCTACAAAAGGAAGGAACCAGATAGCAGAGGGCTGACATACACAAGGGTACTCCCCATGTGTAGTACTCACAGGCCAGGATGAGTACCCTTCGATATGCCAACTATGATGAGAACCTGGCAGCTAAGATGGGGTCAGAAAGTTCCAATTAGAAATACCATGGGAGACAGAACTCAGAGCAGAGGTTGTACAAGACATATTAGAGTACATCACCCAGAAGTGCCAACAGGCTGAAGAAACCTTTATCCCGGTCCAGAAGGAACAAAATTACAAGCAAAAGCAGAATCCGTAGGTTATCATGTAAGGAAACAAGGCAATTTAACGGAGCCGTGTGTGGACAGGGCAGTTAAGGCCTGGAATGGTGCCACTGGCAGGGAATAGTGCCACTGGCAGGGAATGGTGCCACTGGCAGGAACGGTGCCACTGGCAGGGTATGGTGCCACTTGCAGGGAATGGTGCCACATGCAGGGAATGGTGCCACTGGCAGGAATGGTGCCACTGGCAGGAATGGTGCCACTGGCAGAGAATGGTGCCACTGGCAGGGATTGGAGTTTCTGACATCTTAGGAAGCAGAATGTACAGTCACAAAGATGCTGAAGGTATGGCAAATTGATACAGTAGTCCTGCTGATGTTAGCCCCTTTGACTTCACCACTACTTGCTAGCCTCCACCCTTGACGTCAGCACAACATACTATCCCCCTTGACGTCACCACTCCCGTGAGCCCCTTTGACATCAACATACCTGGCCACCCTGGCCATGGTTTACGGCCAGGCAGCTGCCTCTTCTGTTTTTACTCTTTTGCTAAATTAAGATTTAGAGATTTACTGTAACTCGTTAGAGTCCCCTCCCCCTCCCCCCCTCCCCCTCCCCCCCTCCCCCTCCCCCCCTCCCCCTCCCCCCCTCCCCCTCCCCCCCTCCCATCTCTCACCCCCTCGCCCTCCTGCTTGCCTGCCTCCTCCTCCCTCACTATCCCCTCTATGTTGTTCTCCTACACTCTCTCTCTCTCTCTTCTCTCTCTCTCTCTCTCTCTCTCTCTCTCTCTCTCTCTCTCTCTCTCTCTCTCTCTCTCTCTCTCTCTCTCTCTCTCTCTCTCTCTCTCTCTCTCTCTCTCTCTCTCTCTCTCATGCTTGACTTTCACTATGTGATGATACAGAGACATGTCGTATCTACCCTTAGATACGACTTAAATACTTAGGAGAGTGTGTGAAACTCTGGTTCGGCCTTAGTGGAAGCCTCAGGATCTCTCGTAGATTCAGTAGAATACCTGGAATCTCTGTAACATTCTGCAGTCAACCTCTGTTTTTACATTCAATGTGGAACCGTCCGTAAATATGTATTGCCAATGTTTCACCAGGAAGGTGGGCCTGGTGACTGGTGTAATTACCTAAGTGTAATTACCTAAGTGTAGTTACAGGATGAGAGCTACGCTCGTGGTGTCCCGTCTTCCCAGCACTCTTTGTCATATAACGCTTTAAAACTACTGACGGTCTTGGCCTCCACCACCTTCTCACATAACTTGTTAGGCGTTAAACAAAGAAATTCATTCAAGTTTTTAGCATAGGAATAATTGCTGGGTTATTATTTATTGTTACAATATTCTGTATTTTTGTTGTTTACAGCGGGACCGTTCTTGGCGCCGCCCGGTGCTGGCCTGTAAGTACCCTTACTGGTTACAGTTTCCTGTATTCTCATTATCTTAATTTTGTACTATTAATAACCTTTTCTCTCCTCTCTTCCACCTCATCTTTAGCATTCTCGACTCAATTCTTCCATCTTCTGTACATTCTCAGCATTTTTTTCTGCACATTTTCAATATTTTGAGTTGATTAGTAGTGTTTTCTGCATGTTCTACACATTTTTATCATATTCTTAGCTGTTCCGACCCATTTTTCATCTGATTAGATGAAAATGTTTGAAAATTGAAAATTGAAAATTTATCATATTCTTAGATGTTCCAATCCCTTTTCAACACAAGATTGTCAGCACTCAATACACTCTGCTTATTTGGGACATGTGATCATAACTGTGGTGGTCCCAGTGAGTGGTGTTGGCACTGTGTGGTGGTCCTGTTGAATGGTGTTGGCACTGTGTGGTGGTCCTGTTGAATGGTGTTGGTACTGTGTGGTGGTCCTGTTGAATGGTGTTGGTACTGTGTGGTGGTCCTGTTGAATGGTGTTGGTACTGTGTGGTGGTCCTGTTGAATGGTGTTGGTACTGTGTGGTGGTCCTGTTGAATGGTGTTGGTACTGTGTGGTGGTCCTGTTGAATGGGCTTGCCTGCTTGATGTGGGCTTGTCCCCTGTGTATTGATGTGGGCTTGTCCCCTGTGTATTGATGTGGGCTTGTCCCCTGTGTATTTATGTGGTCTTGTCCCCTGTGTATTGATGCGAGCTTGTCACCTGAGTATTGATGCGAGCTTCCTCCCTGTCATGTACCTGATGTTCCACAGCATCGCTGGTAATTCAATTGTAGTCAATAGTCTATAAGACAACCAGTTTACTGAGACATCTCCATAAGGCACGGTAGAAAATACACGAAAGAACACAACTAAGTTCTCTACACTGATATTATTTCACACTAAAGTTAGCTTGGTTCAATCTCTTGGGAATTGTCCATATCATGCTCTAGGCTGCACACCCTCTCTGAGCTGGTTGTCACTAGGTTCTTTCCTAGTGCAGTGGTATACTAGCTCTATCCTAGTGCAGTGGTACACTAGCTCTATCCTAGTGCAGTGGTATACTAGTTCTATCCTAGTGCAGTGGTATACAAGCTCTATCCTAGTGCAGTGGTACACTAGCTCTATCCTAGTGCAGTGGTATACTAGCTCTATCCTAGTGCAGTGGTATACTAGTTCTATCCTAGTGCAGTGGTATACTAGCTCTATCCTAGTGCAGTGGTATACTAGCTCTATCCTAGTGCAGTGGTACACTAGCTCTATCCTAGTGCAGTGGTATACTAGCTCTATCCTAGTGCAGTGGTATACTAGCTCTATCCTAGTGCAGTGGTACACTAGCTCTATCCTAGTGCAGTGGTATACTAGCTCTATCCTAGTGCAGTGGTATACTAGCTCTATCCTAGTGCAGTGGTACACTAGCTCTAGTATGCTTAACCACTGAGTGGCTAGTGGGCTACTGAGTGACTAATATTTCGTTGAAAACGACAAAGTTTTAGATTTATGATTCTGGCACGAATCTTCTCGATATTCCTTATGTTTTTCTTCACTGAAGCAGGAAGATTAAAAATTAACTCTCCAAAGTTCATTTTTACTTATTATTTGGGTCTGACGCCTAGTGATGCGTTTCGTAAGGTCTCACCTCACATTCTCAAAGACAAATTCTTCTGTGTTAGCACCTGATTATATCCTCTAATGGTGAGGTGGTAGGTGACATGGATGAATGACATACATGGGGTATTAATGGGGTCCTATATAATGGGGTATTAAATGGGGTAGTAAATTAAGAGTGTGACATGTTGGCAGTTTATGTTCTTCTGGTTGCTTCCGTTCCTGTTGCAGGGTCATTCGGTCCAGCTTCTGCATTGGCCCGGGGTCTTGAAGTGGGTAGAGTGTAACTGTGTATTAGCTGGTTATTGATTGCTGGTCTAGATTTCTTGATATGCAGCGCTTCACTGATGTCTAATCTTCTATTGTCATTGTATCTATCAATTATTTCGGTGTTGCTCGTCAAAATATCCCTGGTGATCGTCTCGTTGTGTGTGGCGATTATATGTTCCTTGATGGAGCCCTGTTGTTTGTGCATTGTTAAACGCCTAGAGAGAGACGTTGTTGTCTTGCCTATATACTGAGTTCGTTGGGGCTGACAATCCCCAAGTGGGCACGTGAAGGCGTAAACAATGTTGGTCTCTTTCAAGGTGTTGTTTTTCTTGGTGTTGGGGGAGAATTCTTCATTAGCAGGTTGGCGGTTTTCCTACTCTTATAATATATTGTTAGTTTTATCTTTTGGTTGACGTCAGTTGGGGTAACGTTCCTCTCAATGATCTCTTTTAGGGCTCTTTCCTCTGCTTTGTAGGCCGTGGAGAAGAAGTTTCTGTAGAACAATTTTATTGGAAGTACGGGTATTGCGGTATTAGTTGTTCCGTTGCCTGTTGCACACCTCGCCACCTTCCTTTTTATTATATCTTCGACATAACCATTGGAGAAACCATTGTTGACCAAAATCTGCCTTATTCTACATAACTCCTCATCCACCTGCTTCCACCCAGAGCTGTGAGTGAGAGCTCGGTCGACGTAAGCGTTCACAACACTCCGTTTGTATCTCTCCGGGCAGTCGCTGTCAGCGTTAAGGCACATCCCTATGTTTGTCTCCTTAGTATATACTGCATGATGAAAGCTGCCGTTCCTTTCCATGACTGCTACATCTAAGAAGGGCAGCTTACCCCCACTCTCCATCTCATAAGTGAAGTTTAAAACTGAGTTTTGCTCGAAAGCTTCCTTCAACTGCAACAGTCGTTCGGTATCCGGGACTTGTACAAATATGTCGTCGACATACCTGCAGTAGATGGCGGGTTTTAGGTCTAACCCGACCAGAACTCTCTGCTCAATAGTACCCATGTAAAAGTTCGCGAACAAGACACCCAGCGGGGAGCCCATGGCGACGCCGTCCACTTGCTTATACATGTGTCCGTCAGGACTTAAGAAGGGTGCCTCTTTCGTGCAAGCTTCAAGCAGTTTTCTTAATATGCTCTCTGGTATGTCCAGAGGAGTGCTAGTCGGATCTCGATACACTCTGTCCATCATCATTCCAATAGTCTCGTCCACGGGCACATTAGTGAACAGTGACTCCACGTCCAGGGAGGCTCTTACACCTGCGGCCCGTCATCCTCTCAACAGGTCAACGAATTCCTTCGGCGACCTTAGGCTAAACGCACTCGGTACGTAGGGTGCCAACAGCGAGTTTAGTCGCTTAGCAAACCTGTACGAGGCCGTTGATATCTGGCTGATGATTGGCATCAGTGGGTTCCCAGGTTTGTGGGTTTTGACGTTTCCATATGCATAGCCGGGTTTGCATTATCAAGTGATTTTTAATAGGTGCAGTCCGCACTTTTTTGTGTTGACAGTTTCCGTCAGTTGGTTTACTTTCGGTTTTAATTCGGCTGTTGTAGCCCTCGTGACCCTCATGAATCTTGTTTGGTAGGAGGGGATAAGTTTAGTTTTTGCAATGTACTCATCTCATTTTAGGATGTTGTATATTAGTGACTTGTCGCCTCTCCTTACTGCCACGTCCTTGTTATCCCGGAGGCTCTTAGCTGCCGCTGTGAGCTCCGGGGTCAGTATAGTGCTCTTGTATCTCCCTTGGGGTCTTCCCTCCTTCTGCAATCAGTTCTGCGTGCAGAGCGTCTTTGAATGGGAGCCCTAGAGTCTAAACAATAGTGGAGTGAGAGGGGAGGGATGAGTGAGGCACATACTAGTCAGAGAGAGAGAGAGAGAGAGAGAGAGAGAGAGAGAGAGAGAGAGAGAGAGAGAGAGAGAGAGAGAGAGAGAGAGAGAGAGAGAGAGAGAGAGAGAGAGAGAGAGAGAGAGAGAGAGAGAGAGAGAGAGAGAGAGAGAGAGAGAGAGAGAGAGAGAGAGAGAGAGAGAGAGAGAGAGAGAGAGGGAGAGGGAGAGAGACAGAGACAGAGACAGAGACAGAGACAGAGACAGAGACAGAGAGAGAGAGAGAGAGAGAGAGAGAGAGAGAGAGAGACAGAGACAGAGACAGAGACAGAGACAGAGACAGAGACAGAGACAGAGACAGAGAGAGAGAGAGAGAGAGAGAGAGAGAGAGACAGAGACAGAGACAGAGACAGAGACAGAGACAGAGACAGAGACAGAGACAGAGAGAGAGAGAGAGAGAGAGAGACAGAGACAGAGACAGAGACAGAGACAGAGAGAGAGAGAGAGAGAGAGAGAGAGAGAGAGAGAGAGATGAACAAATACATGTCTTGTATTGTATTGAAAGAAATGTATCAAAGAAATCAAATGTAGATGTGATGGAGCTTGAGTAGCTCAGGAATCTCTTCTACACCAGTAGATTGACGGTTGAGAGGCGGGACCAAAGAGCCAGAGCTCAGCCCCTGCAAGCACAACTAGGTGAGTACACATTGATATATGTTAATGATCTCCCAGAGGGAATAGACTCGTTTCTCTGAATGTTTGCTGATGAAGCAAAAATTATGAGGAGGATTAAAACAGAGGAAGATAGTATGAGGCTTCATGATGACCTGGACAAACTGAAGGAATGGTCCAACAAATGGCTACTAAAGTTCAACCCAAGTAAATGTGAGTAATGAAACTAGGCGATGGAAATAGGAGGCCAGACACAGGACACAGAATGGGAGATGAAATCCTTCACGAAACGGACAGAGAGAAAGATCTTGAAGTTGATATCACACCAAACCTGTCTCCTGAAGCCCACGTCAAAAGAATAACATCAGCGGCGTATGCGAGGCTGGCTAACATCAGAACTGCCTTCAGGAACCAACCCGTTCTCGCAAATTTAATAAGTCAATATTGACTTATTAAATATGTGCATAGGTGACATACTTAACATAATAGATACCCTTAAAAAGATTCATAGAAAACACCGACCATACCTAACCTACTTAGTATGTTAAGATAAGCATATTATTGCTTCGTAATTACAATTATTACCTAACCTATAATAGGTATAGGTTAAGTAATAATTGTAATTACGAAGCAATAAGATGCTTATCTTAAGATACTAACAAGGTTAGGTAAGGTCGGTGTTTTCTATGAATCTTTTTAAGGGTATCTATTATGTTTAGTATATCACCTATGCACGTAGGTAATAAGTCAATATTGACTTATTAAATTTGCGAGAACGGGTTGCAGGAACCTGTGCAAGGAATCATTCAGAACCTTGTACACCACATATGTAAGACCAATCCTGGAGTATGCGGCCCCAGCATGGAGCCCGTACCTTGTCAAGCACGAGGCGAAGCTGGAAAAAGTCCAGAAGTATGCCACTAGACTAGTCCCAGAACTAAGAGGCATGAGTTACGAGGAAAGGCTGCGTGATAGTCCTCACGTCGCTGGAAGACAGAAGAGCTAGGGGAAGCTTGATCACCACATATAAAATTCTCAGAGGAATTGACAGGGTAGACAAGGAAGGGTTATTTAACACTGGTGGAACACACACAAGGGGACACAGGTGGAAGCTGAGTACCCAAATGAGCCACAGAGACGTTAGAAAGAACTTTTTCAGTGTCAGAGTAGTTAACAGATGGAGTGCATTAGGCAGTGATGTGGTGGAGGCTGACTCCATACACAGTTTCAAATGTAGATATGATAGAGCCCAATAGGCTCAGAAACCTGTACACCAGTTGATTGACGGTTGTGAGGCGGGACCAAAGAGACAAAGCTCAACCCCCGCAAGCATAACTAGATGAGTACACACACACCAACCCGTTCTCGCAAATTTAATAAGTCAATATTGACTTATTACCTACGTGCATAGGTGATATACTAAACATAATAGATACCCTTAAAAAGATTCATAGAAAACACCGACCTTACCTAACCTTGTTAGTATCTTAAGATAAGCATCTTATTGCTTCGTAATTACAATTATTACTTAACCTATACCTATTATAGGTTAGGTAATAATTGTAATTACGAAGCAATAATATGCTTATCTTAACATACTAAGTAGGTTAGGTATGGTCGGTGTTTTCTATGAATCTTTTTAAGGGTATCTATTATGTTAAGTATGTCACCTATGCACATATTTAATAAGTCAATATTGACTTATTAAATTTGCGAGAACGGGTTGCAACCACACACACACACACACACACACACACACACACACACACACACTCGCAAGACTACGCTATATAATTGCAACAAATTGCTTCGTGCGCTCGTTAAGGTGGCAATGGGCGGGTGTCCTTAGTGACCCAGTAGTTAGTATGAGAGAGATGCTTGGGGGAGGGCGGGGGAGGGGAGGAATGGGAGGGAGAGGGGAGTAGAAGGGTGAGAGAAAGGGAGGAAGACTAGGAGAGGGAGAGCAGAGGAGAGGTGACAGTAGAAGACAGACGTCCAAGGAGCGATAACGTGACGACGGAACTTGATTTGGAAACTCAAACGACAAAAACAGTCATCGGTGACATGAGCAAAGAGAAACTCACGTATGGAGAGAGAGAGAGACAAGAGGATAAACACAGCATAAAGGAGAGGAGACGCCAAAGCACTTGAACGAAACAGGAAAACTGCGGATAATAAAGAGGAATGACAGAAAAGCCTAAGAGAGAGAGCCAGTGAACGCGACTTTAAACCCAGCTCGACTGCGGACTTGTCGGGAACACGACACCCCCGGGGGGATTATCCCCTCTTAACACTCACATCTTTCTAACGAATATTTCTGTTTTCAAGAATTAAAAAAATAAATAATCTTATAGGAAATTTGTAAATGGCTTTGTTGTTGCTCGTGAAGGGTCATTAGCGTCCAGCGTTCAAAATATTTAGTAACATCGTATAATGTGTCGAGAATTTTCGTAATTGCAATATTTATTTTTAATTTTGCAAGTGAGAAATCCAATCGCGAACGGGCGAGCCATCCTGAACACCGGTGCTGGGATCATTATACAACCATCCTGGCCACCAGTGCTGGGATCATTATACAACCATCCTGAACACCGGTGCTGGGATCATTATACAACCATCCTGGCCACCAGTGCTGGGATCATTATACAACCATCCTGAACACCGGTGCTGGGATCATTATACAACCATCCTGAACACCGGTGCTGGGATCATTATACAACCATCCTGAACACCGGTGCTGGGATCATTATACAACCATCCTGGCCAACGGTGCTGGGATCATTATACAACCATCCTGGCCACCAGTGCTGGGATCATTATACAACCATCCTGGCCACCAGTGCTGGAATCATTATACAACCATCCTGGCCACCAGTGCTGGGATCATTATACAACCATCCTGGCCACCGGTGCTGGGATCATTATACAACCATCCTGGACACCAGTGCTGGGATCATTATACAACCATCCTGAACACCGGTGCTGGGATCATTATACAACCATCCTGGCCACCAGTGCTGGGATCATTATACAACCATCCTGGCCACCAGTGCTGGGATCATTATACAACCATCCTGGCCACCAGTGCTGGGATCATTATACAACCATCCTGGCCACCGGTGCTGCGATCATTATACAACCATCCTGGCCACCAGTGCTGGGATCATTATACAACCATCCTGGCCACCGGTGCTGGGATCATTATACAACCATCCTGGACACCGGTGCTGGGATCATTATACAACCATCCTGGCCACCAGTGCTGGGATCATTATACAACCATCCTGGCCACCAGTGCTGGGATCATTATACAACCATCCTGGCCACCAGTGCTGGGATCATTATACAACCATCCTGGCCACCAGTGCTGGGATCATTATACAACCATCCTGGCCACCAGTGCTGGGATCATTATACAACCATCCTGGCCACCAGTGCTGGGATCATTATACAACCATCCTGGAAGTGTTTCAGATCTCACGTATCATATTAAGACTACTTCTAAACATCAGTGTAATGTCCATGAGTGCTAGGATTATACCCAGGATTGCTAGGATTATACCCAGGAGTACAAGAATTATACCCAGAAAAGTTAGGACTATACGCAGGAGTTGGATTATACTCAAAAGACCTAGAATAATACCCCAGGAGTGCTAGGATTATACCCAAAAGACCTAGAATAATACCCCAGG